TTTTTTTTTTTTTTTTTTTTTTTAATTTTTTGCCTCTGGATTCGAAAGAACACAAGTGTGCTAGGTTTCATCGAACCTAGGCGTGTTAGGTTCGAAAGAACCCAACGCCTCAGTTCCAAGGAACCTCACGCTTGGTTTCCATCGAACCGAGCGCTTGGGTTCGAAAGAACACTACCATCAGAATCCAAACATAATAAAGCAGATCCAGCTAGCCAATAGTAGCATAAAACATAGATCCATAGACCAAAAAACCAAATCAGGAAACCAAATAAAGCAATCACTAAAACCAACTAAAGCCAAAACGAATTAAAATTGCAAAATCAATGACAGAGATCGTCAATGTACACACAGATCTCACTTTCAATAGCACAAAAACATCAAAAAAAGCAACAGAATCATCAAATCAACCAAACATAAATCGATCCAACGTAATCTCAAATCGAAAAGACAAGGCCTCAAAGCTAAACGATCGAGAGAGCTCACTTGAACAGGAAATCGATGACGAATTTAGCAAAAGAGAGAAAGAATCGAAGAAGAAGCAAAAGCAAATGATGGAGTAAAGACGATGACAATCTCTCCTCTTCCTCTGCTTCTTTGTGTGTTGAGGAATACAGTCGTTGAGCAACTAGAGGTAGAAATGGAGAGTTTATGAACCCATGCGTGCTAGGTTCCAAGGAACCCAGTGCCTAGGTTCAAAAGAACCCGCACTTGGGTTCCATCAAACCCAGGCATGCTGGGTTCCTTCGAACCCAGCAAGCGTTGGGTTCTAAAGGGAAGAGAAAACCAGCACCTGGGTTCCATCGGGGTTCGAAGGAACCCAACAAGCGTTGGGTTCTAAAAGGAAGAGAAACCCATCGCCTAGGTTCCATCGGGGTTTGAAGGAACCTAGTAGGCGCTGGGTTCTAAAGAGGAAGAGAAAGTGAAAGAGAAGGAAAAAAAAAAGGAAAGAATTTTTTTTTTTGGTCATATTAATTCTTTTTGTCATATTATTAGTTTTCTCCATGTCATCACTTTTTGTCATGTTGTCTTGCCACGTGTATTAAAAATTTGACACGTCATCATGTAACCATTAATCACCAAGACACGTCATTGGATTTTTAATAGAATGACTAAGTTGGGTTCAAAATGGTAAACAGTAGAGACCAAATCAAAAATTTTTTGAGTTGAGGGACTAAATCGAGGGTCCATATAATAGTTGAGAGATCAAAATAAAGGTTTAACCTTTTTTTTTAGCATCTTTTTAATCTCTTTCTATAAGTAAAATGTTTTAAATTCAAATTATTTTTTTTATTATGTAATTTTTTAAAATCTAACACTATCAATGTTCATGTTCATGTATTTATTTATATCTTTTTAATTGATTTGATTTGATTAATAAAATGAGAAAGTGAAAATTTAAGATGTCTAAAAATTAAAATACATTATATGAAATTTATTATGTAACTATAATTATTATCTTGATATTTTTTATTTGCTAATTGTGAAATTTAGAACATTAAAAAAAAAAATCAAGAAACTAATTAAATTAATTCAAGGGTGAAG